GCACGAGATCCAACGAACGACATCAAGGAAGCGATGTACAGACAGACCAGTAGGCACTCCACAAAGCCGCTCGGAAGAGTTTTTTTCACCCTTAAGGGAACCACCGAGGTTTTTACTTCCGGTTGGTTCTGTCTTAGGGGGAGTGAGCTGTAGCGGTAAATACTTCCCCAAAATTATTGACCACACCCATCATCACTGAACATTGGATGCTGACCCTTATTGATTAAGTCGACTTGTTTAGCTGAAAGCTTCCGGTCAAGCATCCTCGCCATTTGGTACTCCGTCGTGTCACGTTCGTGCAGGATCACTAGCCAGCTTAGCTTCCGCTTCAGTCCACGATTTGGTCCCAAAATATAACTCGTAGTTTGGACTATCAAATACTGTCTTTTGCTTTGCCTTTGGTCCACGAGAAACGAATACTATAGAAGTTGTTGGTATAAGATCTTGCGTTAGTAAACTCCGTACAACTCGTGAGCGTCAATACCGCCAGCCTCTAAAACATCTGTGATGAAATTGAATAGAAACGGGGATAGTGGGCATCCCTGACGGACACCGCTAGTCGTTACCACTTCAGTTGACACCTCGCCGTAAGCTTTCATCTGGCTGCATGAGTTCAAGTAGAGTGAATGCCTTGATCAGTGCAATATATTTTCTCGGAATTCCCTTCACAGCCAAGCATAGCCAGAGTACCTCTCGGTCGACAGAATCGAATTCCGCATTCAGGTCAAGAAATATAATGATTGTTGGACGCCGATAGGAATGACCATGTTCTAGAATCTATCGAAGGGTGAATATATGATCAATACACCCTCTTCCTGGTCTAAAGCCTGCCTGGTTCTTTCGTGTTTGTGCCTCCCGAGCACCACTTAGTCTACGCAATGTTATTGAGCCTAGGACTTTAGATACTATATTAGTCAAGCTAATCCCTCTGTGATTATCACAGGAAGACTTGTCTCCCTTCATTTTTATTTATTTTTTTTTTATTACAGCTTGATTCCGCACTGTATTTTTGGTACAAGTGTAGAATTTTCAGCATGGATATCGGTAGCCCAGATTTCGCAGGCTGACCATAGACATCAGGTGTGCGTCGGCAGGGGATTGAACCTCGTACCATGTGAATAGTCGGCGAGAGTCCTAACCACTATGCCATCGACACACATTCTGGGGAGAAGAGGTTAGAAAAGGTTGGCTTCAGAAACTTAACATCCCGACTCACAGTACGGTGGTCCGTAGCCGTTTGTAAGCTACTAATGCGGAACCACATCAAAAAGCCACTTCAGACAGGTCGTGCGTGACCGGCCAGCTTCAAGCAGCTGTCCCCTGGCCTCTCCGGTCACGCATCACTAAGTCTCTTTCTGTTTCAAGTGTAACCCAAGAATAAATCAACTTCCACGGTGTGGGCAGGCGAGAAGAAACAACCGCTTACACACTTCCGAAACCGCACGAAACACACCTAATCATCATCCTCATTTATCCCAGTCACCCTCCTCATCAGAAATTGACGAATAACTGCGGTACGACAACTATCGTTGTTCAATGGTTGTTTCATCTAAAAGTTCAACTTTCTCTCTGCGTTGATGTCACTATTGAAAGGAAATAACAGTGACATACATTATAAGGTTCACAACAAGACTCAGGCTTAAAATTCATACTTTCAAATTATAAAAGCAACATTCAAATTTCACTTATTGAAAATTGGATTTTCAGTTATCTTTCTCAATGAATGCATCCTCTCTTAGCTAAAAACATATGTATATGCAGCCTCGACTAAACTGTTATTCCATCCACAGAAAATGAAAAAAAGTCCACTTGAGGTCAGGTACATCAGCGAGCCACTCACAGTAAACACGGACTTTTTCAGTTCAAAAATGCGAAAACTGCAAGTTTCAGTAAATAAAGTGCAACTTTTATCTTGTTTGAATACTGCCCCACCACTTTCAGTTGTTCAAGGTGTAGATAGACATTATCAAATTTCTCCTTCTCGAGATAATCAAGTTTATTCATTTCATTCGACTAGTTAAACCATCGTATGTCTGTCTGTGTGAGAGATACTGTGTCAAGGAATACGGAATCTTATCTAGTCTCTAATGGACCATATTGATGGAATGTCTAAACTAAATCTCAAAAGCCGCTCAGGTTTTTAGAAGCGTACTTCATACCTGTGTGCACGTGTCTATATGATGACTAGTGAGAGAAAAACTACAACACTGTTGATAAACTTCAACAAGATACCTTGATGTACATTGAAGAAGGGTGAAATGAACACTAAGTACTCCAAATGCCACGTGTCAGTCAAATGATAAACAAACCGTAAACTCACAGAAGTCTTGGAGGTGAAGAGAGGAAGAAGTAAGGCAAGGCTGCCTGCTATCATCAACGGCAGACTGTGCTTGAGGAGTGAGAAGACAGGAATACGTTGGACCAATAAGAAGACTCTAGAAGATATGGACTACGAGAACGACTTATGTCTATTACAATATCACACAGACTCGAAGACTGACGGGTAAAATCCACCGAGTTAGAAGGAAAGGACGTCAGCAGGGACTGGAACTCAAGCGAACATGGAGGTGATGAAGACGCTCGACAATCAACAACAAGAACACCAACAACAAGCAGTCATCACTATCAACGCAGGAAATGAGAACGGGAATACTTCCTCCTTTATCTAGTCCCCGTCGTCTCCACTACAGACATACACCACAAATGGGGAAGTCAAAACCAGAATCGAAAAGACGAGACAGACCTCCATCACTCTAAAATCAGTTTGAAAATTTTCTACACTCCACAGCATACACAACAGCATAGGATTTTAACGCCAATATTAGGTCAGTCAGTCCTTCTATATCAGTCAAACACTCGGTGTGTGCATCACGAAGAGCACTTCCACCAGCCAGCTGCAGACATCTATCAATAAGTGTCTTCGCCAGCTCCTCACGCAAGATCACATGGCCAGTGTGAAGCATAAGCGAGAAAAATTTCTTGGAATGAACCAACCAAGAACCTATTGCCCAACCAGCGAATACTCCAAAGGATATGGGTCGAACACACACTGAGTAGACCATCGAATGAAATCGCACGCCGCACCATGGTTGTTGTGGAATTCGACGGATGGGAAACGACGAGCTGCGCTTACGTCTGATGGTCACATGGAGGAGATCGTGTGGACAGGAGATGTGACACTATGGGGAATCGTGATTCCGGCTGGTGAGAACTGAGTAGAAGAGGATGGAATGCAGATGTTCTATTGGAGCCCTCTAGTTTCTACTTGGAAGCCAAAGGAATAATGGTATAAAAGTAATTTATTCCTATTTAGCTTCATCGCAAATTGTTTCCATGCAGTTTTCCACTCTATTATTAGTAGCAACTTAATGTGTGTGATGAACAAAGTTCACTTTAAGAAGTGGACTGGTGTAAAACAGAAATCCACAGTCTCTCAGTGACCGTTCAAAGGAGCTTCCGTTCCACTCGTCGACTGTATCTATCTATTTATCATAAACCAGGTTTTCGCTTAAGTTTCAATGAAAAACCATTACATCTAAAGTGATTTCAGCTAGTTTTACCAACAACTGGTAGTAGTAGTATTAGTGTAAAAACAGAACACAAGTGCCAGGCAACAGATCCTTTATTATGGAAATCAACACATTTATAGATTTTCATGTACATTATGATAGATTATTGTTAGTAGAAAAACACAGTCTTCTGATTGGTTGCTTCTCACAGAAAGCTAACCTTGCATCTCTTTGTGAATCTCAGATCATCTATATGTTAACTGTATCCGCCTACGGAAAGCCTTTGTTCACATTTTTCTCACTACCAATATCGGGAACATACACATTGACGTAAATCAGTGTCGACCAATTTTGACTAACACCCAGCTCTCACCACAGTAGTAGTAAAAGTAGTGTGGTGTGTGCTACTGACAAGCCTTATCGGTAGTAGATTAAGAAACGTCCATCTGCACAAAAATATCAAATAGCCGAGAGACAGACTTGACATCAAAAAGAGAGGAAATGAACCAGTACGGAGTCAGTGCATGGAAGACTCGAACAGAAGACCGAAAACGACACAAAAGGGGAAGAAATGGCACAACACTGAACACCAAATGACGATTTTCACATAACCTGGTGTGCATAATCCCCCCATATGTGTACATAAATTTCCTAAAAAACACACCATTACCAAGTATCTCGCCTTCTACCGTTACATTTGGTTTCGCTTCCTGTTGCTTTCCAAGAACCAGCTATAAGGAGCTTCTTGTGGCACTTCGGTGCTGCCACCGAATTGATAGTCATCACGATCTGACTGTTGGCGGAATCCGACGGACAGACAGCTGGCAATGCAGCACTTGCGTGACGCGAAGCTGGGACTCAACTGAGACCAATTCGTCTTGGCAGTGGATTTGGGGAGTCTCAGTTATTGACTTACAAATTCACCGAGAGTGTTCCGAACTAATAATGATAACATAGATAAGAAAGAATATAAGGAATCTAAAGTTGTACCATGTTAGAAGGAGACATCTGACAGCCTATGTAGGATTCCTAAGAAAGCGGGGATTAGGGTGGCATTTAATTCCACAAACTCACTCAGATACGGGAAGCTCTGCAGGTTGAAGGACTCTGTAAGTTGATCTGACTACACAAAATAATTTAATTTGCAAAGCACCTTGGAATAACTGTGGAAAGGGCATTTAAACAGATTGGCGCTACAAACATCTAGAGACTTGGTAAATACCAGGTATGCATTCTGAATCTATCCTGAGATTTCCTAGGTGATCACTTCAGTTGAGCTGATGCAAGTCCCCAAATTAAGTGAAATATTCAACATACTTAATTATTCCACCTCCTAGCAAAAGAATCACAACAAGTGCTGCATAAAATTGCGCATTTAGCAGCATAACAATCAAAAATCAACACTTGAGTATGACACAAATATATTGAAAAATGCTGAATGCATGAGGTACAACAAAGATGTTTGTATTCGCGACCAGCATACACAAAATGTCAGCGCCGCCTTTTGCGTGAAGAACTGCCAACACCTGCATCGGTAGTGACTGCTGAAGTGGTCGGTGTTTGAACCAAATCATATGAAGTTACAAGAATGTCAGCCCAGCGTACCGACTTTCTTGTTCGTTTTTGATTAGAAGTATCTACATAGAAAAATCACAGATGAAGTATGACTTCACACGAAAATAATTTGCATACATCAACAGAGTATAGAAAATGCCTCAAATTACAACGAGTTTTCGTCTCATGGGTATATCTAGTAAAAATAGACAACCGATTGTGAGGTAGAGCTAAGTTGTCAGACTGAAGTCTTCTGCGGCACTTTGCACACTATTGGAGTTGGCGACCTTTTCGCCTAAATCTGCATCGTAAGTTTGTGGCTTCAATGAGACAACATTTCATGCTGCTATGACCTAAAGATCCATCCAACTGTGATTCTCCTCAAAACATCCAACTACACAAATTAGTGGGTCATCCTTTTAGTTGCAATTCACACCAACTTAGGCTTAAATAAGCACACACACACACTTGGAATGCACCTCACGACCTCATTTCTCGGATTTAGTATCAATTACATAGGAAAGGCGACAGTGACCAATTTACAAGGAAATGCAAAACCATCACAGTATTCATAAGAAGTGCCTCTCCCTAGTATTCATGATCAGTCCCTTAACTGATTTCATAGAGAGATCAAAATGCTGTTGTGCCTTCTGCGAAGTCTTGCATATATTCCAATCATAACTGCTAATCATACCAAGGTAATCACACGACTTCCTAACTTCATTTACATAGTTCCATTATTTTTCACTTGATTTGATTGGTAGTAGTACTTTCCATATTTCGGGTATGAGTGATGAATCATTCCTATTGCATGTGTTCTGTTGGGTGTAGACTCGATGAACTAGTCAGGATTCAGTAATCAACCTCTCTCTCCACCTACCTAGATTACTTTTTAGAATTTTAACCCTAACTCTCCCACCATGCTACTGTGTGGTTGTGTGTTAATGCATGCATTGCAATTGCTGAGCTTTTTTCTAAATTACTTGTCTTCTCGGGGTCAACCATTCTTACCTTAGCTGAATTCTTATGTTCTGACAATCTGACTACCCTGACCTACTGGTTTGACCTATGTAGTTGACCTCACAGTCATTTCAGGGTATTTTGTAAATTATGTTATTTTGTCTAATTGGGTCAACCGACAGGGTCCTTTCACCCACAGAGCTTGCCCCTGAGTGAGTTTGTAGGTTTAAATGCCACCCTAATTCCTGCTTTAATTAGAATCCTACATAGGGTCTCAGGTGTCCCCTCTTTATATGGTATAACTGTAGATGACTTATGTTCTCTCTTATTTGTGTTATTATTACTAGCTTCACAATCATTTTTATTTTGTTTTTGGCCTTTATTGATCTTCCTAATGAATTTTAAAGGATAGTTATTCAACACCAACGCTTCTTCTATCTGTTTTAATTCATCATTTAGGTCTTTTCTTGTGCTACTGCTCGGTTTGTTAAGCACTTAACTAGGCCCGCCTTAACAGTTAACGGATGAGATGAATTAAAGTCTAAATATCTACTAGAATGAGTTGGTTTTCTGTACACACTAGTGTGCAGTTTACCTTCTTCTATTCGTTTTATTTTACAATCTAACATCACAGCTAATTCTCCTTGTTCATTTTCCGATTCAAATGTGAATTTTATTCTTCTCAACTAGTGAGTTTATGTGTGTCAAGAAGCTAGAGATATGTTCTGTTTTAACACTGTGAAAGTGTCCTCCACACATCTCCACCATATTTTTGGAGTAGAATTAAACGTATTAAGAGCCATATTTTCCCAGCTATCCATAAATATATCTGCTACGATAGGGGATATTGGTGATCCCATTACTACACCTTCAGTTTGTCTATATATTTTGCCTTGGAATTTAAAGATAGTAGATGTGAGGCATAACTGAATTCCTAAAATAATTTCTTCAATGGGCAGCTTCGTCCTATGAGTGAGTTCAGGATCCGCAGTTAGTTCTTTTTTAACTGCCTCCAAAGCCATATTGACTGGTATATTGGTATAAAGACTAGTTATATCAAAACTAACCAATTCTTTTTCCATCATTCTCTAGTTGAATGTCGTTTAGTTTATTTTTCATCTCATATGAATTAGCTAGTCTAGAGTTTGAGCGATTTCTAATGGGGTAAAATATTAGAGCTAAGAGTTTTGATAATTCATAAGTGGGGGTATTTCTAAAATCTACTATTGGTCTTATGGGGTAACCTGGCTTATGTATTTTAATAGTACCATACATTCTACTAGGATTATTGGATTTAGGCATAAAATTAAACCATTTTGACTCATCCAGTGACGGCTTCATTCTGCGTATCAATTCCGCTGTAGATTTTTTTTTACCTTATTCATTACTGTATCTACAGGTTTCTTAGTTTCCTCATATGGACCCATCCCAATATATTCAGTGACTTTCCAACACTACTGTGACTGTGAGCAAGCTTCACAGTAGTCCTGGATATATCTGACTATATCAAGAAAATTACTATGTAAATGAAGTTAGGAAGTCGTGTGATTACCTTGATATGATTAGGAGCAATAAATTGTGCTGGAACCCTCATTAGTAAACATTACTGTATAACACTGTGGGACTTCATTGAAGCAAAATTTATGCATAGTGGAATCATGCTCTGCCACAGTTCGCAGGTTTTATTCGTAAATCCGATCAAAACTGTCTCCTAGTTTACGAAATTCACCCAAGAGAATGATAACTCTTATTCTTGAAAATTCACATCTTCCTACGTTATATATATATATTTATATATATATGTTTATACTTATATCCCTTGAAGAATAGTTGACGTTTTGTCACATAAATACAAAAATTATAACTGGATTGTAAGTTGTGATAATGGGCTGCTAGCTTACCTAGAACTGAAGATTTGAGTGTAGCTGTATCGCTTCCGTGATTAACTCGGGAAACTTCAATCCTTTCAAGGAATCGAATTCTTCGGGTAGACTGAGTTCTTGGATTTCACCTTGAAAAGAATCGACTTCAGAATCATGCTTCACAGAAACGTTACAATATTTCAAGAAATAGAAATGACCAGTTCTTCCATATTGTATAGTGTTTTCAGCTTTTTCCAAATAGCATCCGGGGTGACTGGTGTACGAAGAACTGAATTCACATAATTCCACAAACATATCATGTGGAAGTGGCGAAATACGCCGACGGGTTTGTGCTTCATTAATCCTCGGAAAAGTTGAATTTCCGATTCACAGGTCCATTCATATGAATCAGTCTTATCAACAACCATGTGTATTTAATTCCAGGGCACTGAAAATCCAATAAACAAAATTAAAAGTATTAGAAGTAGGCCAATTACAAGAGGTTTATATAAGAAGTACCACAGAAACATTTCTCTCCTGACTGACCCGCTTATCAGGAAGCACATGAGTGAAACAATGAGACCAGAATCACTAATCGCAATACCCACAGAAACGATGTGTGATTTTACTCAATGAAGCAAGTTGGTAGTCACAGAACTGCAAGATGACTTAATGTCAGTAAAATGAATCAAATAACAAAACTTATCATTGTGTGTAAACCATTGAAATATAATTATAATTTACAAGGCGACTGTTTGGAATATATGTGAAGCAGGACTGTTTTCTGTTGCGAATTCGGAGAAGTCGACGAAATAGAATATCTTACACGCAATCATCGAATGTGTGTATATGTAAGTTCAAATGTTCCTATGGAGCTGACTACCTCAAATAATGTACAATAAGGAGTCTCCAAACCCTGCAAACGTCACCACTCTACATGGTTAAGCACCAAAGTGAAAACAACACTTGGAAGCCCCATACACACCCACCTAGTTATAAAGTGAGCACACAATAGATCCAAATAAATTATGACAAATTTCCACCACATTTTTGACCAAACAGTGCAGTGTCTATTTGTCTGCAGACAGCGGGAGCAAGCTGGAACATACAGTTGAACCTTCACCTTCATATCCAAAACAATGATTTCTTTTCTATTAATAATCAAAAAGTATCAGTTTCAAAGAGCAAGATCGTGCATGGATACCATCAATCATTTAGCTAGAGCCTAGTGACCAGGATTCTTTCACGAGCCGCACGGTGGACATGACGATCCTATGTTAAGAGGAGTTCCAGCATCATGCTCACCTATGTCTACCGAGTTGGTGTGTGCTGTTTTCGGTGAAGAATTAGGAGTTGGAGTGCTGGATTTGCTATAGACTAAGGAATTTTTATTTTTAGTTAGGCTAGAGAAGTGGGTAGGGTTCTTTATTTGACCTATACTTGTGCAAGTGTCAAGTGTGCCTAATGGATACGGGTGCACTAGACCGTTCCTGTTTTCATGCAAGGAAGGAGCCAGCACTAGTGGTTTAGGAGTATTAACATCCCTACCAGCTGTTTTTTCAACGCTGACAGGGACGCAGGGGATAAAAAATGATTGGATCCTTTTGATGACCATGGCTTGTTATTCCACTTATTGTTCGATGCTAGTCGTGTCCTTGTGGAGATTTCGTGTATACTGCATTGTGGGTTAGTTCCCAGCAGACTTGTACCATATATCCGGTCAAAATTGGTTTGTGTGCCATACTCTGAAGACCCTGAGTTGTTGGTAGCCGAGTTCTGACTATTACCACTTGTACTATTGAGGGTGACATTGTTGTGACATTGGATATTAGTTTGTGCCATGGTGCGATTTAGCACGTTGTGAGTGCTAACACCATTGATCCTGGGGAGTGTGGGCTTATTTAAGCTGCCACTGTTTTTGTTGGCATGATTTAGGGGCATATTTTCCTCACCTTTAGCAATCGAGTTATGGCTAGGAGAGGACAATGTCGAATTTCGGGGGGTTTTGACTTTTTTTCTGGGTTATTTAGTATGTTTTTAGATTCTGCGGCGATAGGTGGTATGGTTTTATTATATATTTGGTTACAGTATAATAATAATTTTATATTTTCATATAAACATAAATTTACATGAAAATGCATGCCATTTTTACAGGCACGATCAAGTATTGTATAATGTCAAATCTTAAATTGTCTACGAGTTAACAATGTTTCAACAGTTAAATATTTGATACATATATATAATTACACTGATTGTCTGAACCAGGCCGTATAGTTATTGAACTGTACAGTTGTCCTCCAGGTTGAGTGGGAAAACCGACTTCATTTCGTTTTCATCCAGTGGTTGTAGGCATACGATAACCAACCAACATTGAGGTAAGTACAACGTTTACAAGGGATTGAAAGCTGTTTTAGAAAAGTTAAAGTGCTAAGGTGAAACACTAAAGTGTAATAGATTAAGTGAGTGAAATATATCATTGATAAATACATTTATATAGAAAACAGAATGTGGAAGTAATTAATCCCTAGGCCGAAAACGTTCATTTGCAATGTGTAATAATACCCATATACTTCGTACTATCATGATGTCCACTTTTGGCTCTAATACAATTATTTTCAAGCCAGTTGTTTTTATTTCATGCCTTTTTGTTTATTTGGTGCACAACCGTACCCTACAGAGAATGGGAATAGAACAAGTCGAATCAAATTCATAAACAGCTATAAAATGTTAGGTTTAATTGAATGTAATGAGGATCGAGTAAAGACGTTATTGGAAAATAAGTGAGATAAGACATTTTGAAGTGGTATTTAAAGATCTGACAATGGATAGTAAGTTAATTTATAAGATGCCCCATAAATCTGTGCATATCCCGCGTGGTCGCATCTCAACAATAGGCTGAGCGAATGGTATATATTTAAAAGCAGAAGCATGATCTGTCAAGGCGTTCATTATTATCTTTTTCAAGATAAAGATCTAAGCCCTCATGAAAATCATGGAAATCTCGAGCCTTCAAATTGCATATTGCTTTTCCTGCAGAATGAGGCGATTCACCTCAGTGACCACCACCATATCTACTATTAGGCTGTGAGACTATGATTATTATGGCTACCGCAAATATATTGCTTGGTACCAGACATGTTCGTACCCCATATTCCATCTCCCTAGCTTTCTTAATGAGTGCCTCCAATAGGTCTCCACGTACATCTTTATGAACATATTATGTATGTGTGCATGCATCCTAATGAACAGATTACTTTATAAGAAGTCAAAAACTTAGAGTAAAACGAATAGGTTTTGTGAATGGTGGAGCAGGATTCAGCAGAGCACTATAGTTGGTTCAATGTAGGTAGTATTATAAAAAGATATTAACATAGAACCAACAGAATTTTGGCATTTGGTTAACAATACTGCAGTGTGTGTATACTGAAGAATGGTAGTTAGTCCATAGGGAGCCGTAAAGTAAATCAAACCATATATGATAAGAGTATAATCAGTATTATAATTCATATATCAAATAATACACCAGGCTCAATAATCGGGTGTTATAAATGAAACAAGCGTGGTAAAGCAAGAGAACATTTGATGCATAAATATTTAAATCATTCTAAGTATTTTAATAACAACCTAATCTTAAGAATTGAACATGCATGATTAATAAGTATTATTATATTAGTGTATACATATGTAAAACGTTAAAGATGTGGATGCTAATACAATTACTTCCAGTGTTACTTTTACCGACACAACTTATTGAAAATTATAGAGAATAGAAATCAGTAAATTAGTTAACGTTCGCTGCATGAGTATTAGAGTCGAGATATACGTATGTGGCTATACTGAAGACTGGACTAGTAGCCTTTCAGCTGGTGTTGCACTCTGAGAGGATAATTCTGTGTGTTTTGAGAGGGGTGATGCGGTGGAGTCTACTGTATCTTACACAGGGTTGGGAATAATGGCTGCTTGCAATGTCCTATTACCTACTTCACTATTAGTCTTAGCGAGATAATTGTATGCGCGTCTTTCTATGACTGTTTTGTCCACCCCGACCTTTATAAGTTTGTAGTTTCTGGCTTGCGATAGGGTGTGTTGGGAGTGGATGAATTTTCTGGTCTCTGCCGGTGTTTAGAACTGAAAACGAATAGGACAACACTTTTCATTTTGACTCTTCTTCAGCCTATAGCACTTAGTCTTGGAGTTAGGCATTTTCGCTTCACTAAGTAAGATGCGCTGTACCTTTTTTAGTGCCTCATTGTCCGGAACGTTGTAGACAATAACACTCAGTTTTGCGTCGAGTCGTTTTGTTACCTCTGTGGTAACAAAGTTAATGAGGTTATCTACCTTAGTTACCGATTCTGTGTCAAGCTTGTTAAGGTTTATAGTTTTCATGAGGATATTTAGAGGTGTCAGTTCACAGACCTGCGATCTGATATTGCTGATCTGATCTGATAATTTGGGTATCTCGGTATTGGTTTCGATGTTTCCAGCATTTACTGACTTACTGTTTTTTATTTGCCTTAACTCAGCCTTAAGTTCTCCTATAGACAACTTTAGAAGTTCTATTTCTGAAGATAGTACTGATAAAGAGCTTGGCGGCTAGAGTTTTTCGATGGGCACATAAGGTGAAGAGAGGGGTTTTGTATGAGCAGACGGTACTGAATTTTTAGGAGTAGTGTTAATACAGTTTTATCCTCAGTTCCAGCTCGACGCTTACGGCATACAAGTGGGTTATGTGACTCACTATAGCCGTTTGTAGGGGGTGTATTGATTGATGTATCAATCAAGGACGTTAAATTAGTCACCAGTTTTACAGATGATTGGGTTCGTTGCTTTTTACTTTGATTAACCATAACTATTAGAAATGAGAGTTAGTGGTTACAAGTATGGAGGTAGTATAGTACTTGTGCAAGTATTACAACAAGATAAATCTTATGTAACGCAAACGTCGAACGTACCGCGATAACGTACCACCATAACACGCATCAATTGAGTGATTGCAATCTCTTCATTGCTGCGTCTGCCGTAGAAATTTCGAAAATGGCAAAACAGAAGCGGTTGTGTTTCATTGTTTAAAGATGGGGCACACATGTTCGAAA